AAATCTTGCTTTCCAATTGATTTTGTATTTCTTCTTTGTTCCTTTATTTTTCTTTTTGTTTCCTTTTGTGGTTTGATGGTTTTCTTTTGTATTATGTTTGAGTTCTCTTTTTTTTTGTTTTTTGTGAACCTATTGTATGTTTTTTTTGTTTGTTTTTTTTTTGTGGTACACGAGCCTCTCACTGCTGTGGCCTCTCCTGTTGTGGAGCACAGACTCCGGATGCGCAGGCTCAGTGGCCATGGCTCATGGGCCCAGCCGCTGCGTGGCATGTGGGATCTTCCTGGACTGGGGCATGAACCCATGTCCCCTGCATCAGCAGGCGGACTCTCAACCACTGCACCACCAGGGAAGCCCTATTGTATGTTTTTGATTTGTGGTTACCCTGGTTTTCAAATATGTTAACCCATTATTGTATCTATTTTCTTTAGACTGGTAGTCATATAAGCTCAGAAACGGTCTAGAAAAAACCCTACATTTTCTTACTCCCCTCTCCCACATTTTATGATTTTTTTTTTTTTTTTTTTTGCGATACATGGGCCTCTCACTGTTGTGGCCTCTCCCATTGCGGAGCACAGGCTCTGGATGCGCAGGCCCAGTGGCCATGGCTTACGGGCCCAGCCGCTCCACGGCATGTGGGATCTTCCCGGACTGAGGCACGAACCTGTGTCCCCTGCATTGGCAGGCCGACTCTCAACCACTGCGCCACCAGGGAAGCCTGAGGGAAGGGTTTTGAGTGACCAGTAGGACTGGGCTGCAGTCGGAGGGGCGTGGAGGGAAGAGGGTCGCGTGGCGTTGACCCAGGTCTGTGCTGTCTGGTCACTGGCTGCTCCACCTCCTCCTCTTCTTCCTCGTCCAGCTGTTAAGCAGCAACAGGCACCTGGGCTGGTGGCCAAGGACCATCCAAGGGAGGACTCTGTTTTCCTGGGACAGACTCACTGGGGGTGAGAAGGAGCTCCAAGAATGGGCATGTTTCACAGATGGGGAGACTGAGGCCAAGGGAGGGGTGGGTTACAGGTTCCAAAGGTGAGCTGGCTCCTGAGGCAGCCCTGGTTCCCCTTGCCCACCTGTCCACCCCTCAAGGCCCATAGCCCCTCTCATGAGCTCAGGGAGGCTGCCTGGAGGCAGAGTCTTTGAAGAGAGAAAGGAGGAAGCAGGGCCTGGGGAGACCTGTCCTGTGGACAGACGTGGCTCTGGACATACGCCTCCCTGACTGGACAGCCTGGGCAGAGGGTACAGCCCCCAGGCAAGCTCATGGCCTGGTTCTTCCTTGGGAGAGCTCTGGCCTGAGGCTGGAGCTCAGGTCCCTCTGGAGATCATTTCTGACCCAAGGCTTTGAGGTTAGAGGGGTCTCATCCTGTCCTAGTTTTCAGTGGTGGGAGAGAGTTTTCCAGAACTTTTATGTTCGATTCGAAGAGGAAGTCAAACAGGCATAAACAGGCCACCAATTTTTTGTAGATTCCTTTATGTTGATATAGTTATAAACTATTAACAAATGAATAGTGAGAAAACAATTATCTGGTTAGCGTATTACTTATTATGTAACAATTAGTTCTGAGACAAAGTCCAATTCAAAACATATTACTGAGGATTCTATATTAGTTGATTTTAGAAATGGCATAATCCAAACCTATTTTTCCATAAATTATTATTTTTTTGGCCACACTGCATGGCTTTTGGGATCTTAGTTCCCCAACCAGGGATCGAACCCTCACCTTTGGCAGTGAAAGTGTGGATTCCTAACCACTGGACCTCCAGGGAATTCCCTCAAATAAATTTTCCTATGTAACCTCTAAAGAATTTTTCACTCCCATCATTTGGCTCTGGAAAACTTATAGGCAACAACATTTTTATATGAGAAAAAAAAATTAAGTACAGTTGTTAGGCACAGCTTAAAAGGGGTGATATGCACAAACTATAATAATTACAAATCAATACTTATTCAAACACACATTTGAATTTAAAGCGTTCAAATAATCATAATCATTCAAATAATCTCGCACCATGCTTCGAGAATCATTTTTAACATGTCTTTTCCTTTCTAACGCACTATGGAAAAAATTCCTTTCTTATTTCTTCAGCAGTAAGAGCCTCAAAAATGTTGTTACAAACCTGGATTCACCTTGTCCTTTTGAGAAACAAGCTGAAGAGGTTTTTGGATCTGGTTAAAAATATTATCCTAAGGGAAATATCCACAGAGAGAAGCCCTGTGTCTGTCTATAGGGCTTGGGGCTGGGCTGGGTGGTGGGTCCAGGAAAGTCCACACAACTATGGACAGGGGGTGACTCAGAGGGGCTCTAACCAGCGTTCTAATCATTGGAAGACTGGGGTTGAGAGGGGTGGCAGATCCTGAATGGCCCGAATCATTTTAAACTTGGCCCTACTTGATGGAACTCTTTGAGAAACAAGGATTTTTCTGGATAGTGTTTGTCCTTGAAACAAATGAATCACCTCATTCAGTGTTTCAAAAAAATTCACTGTTTCTTGGTTATAGGCTATCAACAGTTAGACTATCTTAATGCATAGGGAATGCATTCTGGAAATGCTTTAACAAACTGTATCAGACAGCTTATGATAATGTCAATATCATTTATTAATTCAATTGCTTTTTCCCATCTACTCTCTCTTTAGGCAAGTTTTTTTTTTTTTTTGCGATACACGGGCCTCTCACTGTTGTGGCCTCTCCCGTTGCGGAGCACAGGCTCCAGACGCACAGGCTCAGCAGCCATGGCTCACGGGCCCAGCCGCTCCACGGCACGTGGGATCTTCCGGGACCGGGGCACGAACCCATGTCCCCTGCATTGGCAGGCGGACTCTCAACCACTGCGCCACCAGGGAAGCCCCTAGGCAAAATTTGATTAACGAATTTTTACTACCCATCAGTCATCTGTTTTGGACTCAAACTGTCCATAATTGGCTGTGAAATACAGGTGTGTGTATCGATACATGTGATGTAACTATAAAGTCGCATGTTGAATTGTTACAGGTGGAAATGAGTTCTGCAACTCCAGAGCTATATTGAACGAGACCTGTTTATACTTACCAACATTCACTCATAAAAAATATATATATATATATGTGTGTGTGTGTGTATATATATATATATATATATATATATAATCTTTCACCCTGTAGAATCCTTTCTTTCTAACATCTTTTCAGCCAGTCCTGCGAATCAGATAAGAAACACTACAAGATTGGGAGATAAAACCTTTTTAAAACAAGTTTCCTAATAGAAATTAATTTTTAAAAAGTCTACTTTTAAAGCAGCAGTTAGAAACTTTGTTCTTGTAACATGTCAGTAATACTGTTACATCAAATTGTGGATTTAAATAAGTTTAGCAGTTTCTTATCTCTTTAAAAAATAATACAGATTTCTGTGTTATTTAATGGCTTCTCCATTCTTCCAATTCCAAGGAATACAAAGGTCTCCATCCTGCATTACAGAGTAAAAATGTGAAATGCACAGGTGCATCCCTTGTAGATAAGGCAGTGATTGTTCTAGAAGTCTCTTACAACAATCCACCATTTGTATACTTGAAACGCTGGGCTCCTTATAAAACTTTTCCAGAGAAAATTTCTTCGTGGAAGCCTGCATCAATTCGTTTTCAATGACTTTCAACCTGTTATGTTGAAAACAAACATCTGATTGCCACAAGCTATAACCAAATAAAAGAACATAAAATGTAAAAAATATTTTTGTATATTGGGCCATAACTTTCTACTCTCAACACTGAAAATGGTATCCACAAAGGCCAAATTATACGCTCAGAAGACTGTCCATAGGTATCTTGTAGCACCTATTATTACCACATGTATCTCTAAGTATTTGTTAAATCTTCTTACCAGTAATGGGGTAAAGATAATTAATACAATAATTTTTTTGGCTTTTTAAAAATTTTTATTTTTTATTTATTTATTTTTTTGCGGTACACGGGCCTCTCACTGTTGCGGCCCCTCCCGCCGCAGAGCACAGGCTCCGGACGCGCAGGCTCAGCGGCCATGGCTCACGGGCCCAGCCGCTCCGCGGCATGTGGGATCTTCCCAGACCGGGGCACGAACCCGTGTCCCCTGCATCGGCAGGCGGACTCTCAACCACTGCGCCACCAGGGAAGCCCTTTATTTTTTATTTAAGTTTAACTTCTAATTAAAAAATGTTTTTAATTGAAGTATAGTTGATTTACAATGTTGTGCTGGCTTCTGGCGTACAGAGAAGTGGTTCAGTTATACATACATATATCTACTCTTTGTCAGATTCTTTTCCCTTATAGATTACTACAAAATATTGAGTATGGTTCCGTGGGCTCTACAATAGGTCCTTGTTGTCTAATTAATGCATAATTCAAAAGCCTCTTATCCCTCCTCAGGGAGCAGCTGTTGGTGACTGAGAAAAGCAGGAAGCTGAGAGCGCCCCCGGCAGCTTCAGGAGGCCCTACAGTCCAACCCTGACCCGGGCAGGAGCGACTTCTGGAGATTCCTGAAAAACCCCAGGACCAGAGGCTGGAGGAGGCCGCCCTCCCCACCAGGGCACAGGTTCTGTCTTCTGCCCGCCAAGGGTAAGACACAGGCGCTGAAAGTCAGGCAACCTGGAGAAGTCGTGCAGGGGCTGGAAGGACAGGACCCAGATGTTAGCTTAGAACAGTGGTCTTTAAACGGCTCAGCAAGCTGAGGGTGGTGCAGAGGTGCTCTGAGGGCCCTCGTGCGTATGGACGGCCTCCAGTTCCTTTCCTTTTCAACTGGAGCACCTGCCAACCTTGATCTTTCTTTATCAATTGGTTTTCCACTTGAGAATCCACTTTATAAAGAGAGATGCAGCTCAAAGTGTCTGAAAACCACTGTCTCAGAACAGGCTTCATCTAAGGCAAGAAGGCTGTCTAACCAGCAACAAGTGGCTGCGATGCAGGCGGCCAGACTAGGGAGGGACCGCGGCACAGGGAGAGGAGAGAAGGCAGCGGGGAGGGGAGACTCAGCCGGGCCAGGGCAGACGGCTGTAGGGGGCCCAGGCCAAGGGGGCAGGCGGGATGGGACCAGCAGCAAATGGTTTCTTTACCCTCCGTGTTGGAGGGGACAGGGATGAAGGCTCCGGAGCCCAGAGCCAGAAGGAGGCCAGGGAAGCATGAGCGTCAGTGGATCCAGTCGGTGAGTATTGACTGAAGCCTCCCATGTGCCAGGCCCCGACCCCGGCACTGGAGCGAACGAAAGAGACAAAGCCTCTCTGCCCTCATGAAGCTCACATGCTATCTGGGGCGGGGGGCGGGGGCAGACACTAAATGAACAAGGAAAACAGCGTGTCATAGGGAGATGGGTGGCGGGTGGGAGGGATGAGGGGAAGCTGCTGGATGGCAGGGGAGCTGAGACCTGAGGCTGGGAAGGGGCGGAGCCTGAAGCCATGGGGGAGAAGGGCTCCAGGCAGGGTCAGAGCGCGTGTCCTTGAGGAGGTAAGAAGCTCCTCTGGCAGGAGCAGCAGGGGTGAGGGCAGCGTCTTAGGAAGCGAGTTCAGGAGGCCGCCGGCAGGGCCTCGCAGGCAGGAACACATCCGGGCTCTCAAAGGACCACTCGCTCCGGCTGCTCGGCTGAGAGTCCACTGGGCGGGGGCGTGCATGCCGGGGCGCGGACACGGGACAGGGCATCACAGGATGGTGGAGGCTGAGACCCGGGCGCAGCGGGAAGGGACACGAGACGGGCGGGGTTCTGGAGAGACGGAGAACGTGGAGCTGAGAGGTCTGCCGGCCCGGATGTGGGGAATGAGGAAGCAGGACAGGAATCAAGATGGATCACGGGGTTGGATTTACCTCAGCATCTGGTGGATGAAACGCTCAAAAACTAAAATATTTCATTTTTATTTCTTTTTATTTTCCTTCCTTAAAAATCTACTGGCACTATTTCAAAGCTATAGAACGCCCAGTGCGAAAACAGAAAAAGCAGCAGATACGATGCAGCAAGATCCTCAGGCCTCACAAGGGAAGGTAGGTGAGACTTACAATTAATTAATTAAAATTTCTGGTTTATCCTTCAGTGCTTATTTTTTTTAAGACTTTATTGGGGTATAGTTGATTTACAACATTGTTAGTTTCAGGTGTAAAGCAAAGTGATTAGTTATACACACACATATATTCTTTTCTCATATAGATTATCACATTCAGTAGAGGTCCCAGTACTATACACTAGGTACTTGTTTTTCTGTCTTACATGTAGTACTGTGTGTATCTTAATCCTAAGTTCCTGATTTATTCCTACCCCCCCAATGTTTCCCCTTGAGTAACCATAACTTTGTTTTTGAAGTCTAAGTCTGTTTCTGTTGTGTAAGTTCATTTGCATCATTTAAAAAAATTAATTCCAAATAGGAGTGATAATCGTATTTATCTTTGTCTGACTCACTTCACTGAGGTCTAGGTCCATCCATGTTGCTGCAAATGGCATTATTTCGTTCTTTGTTATGGCTGAGTAATATTCCACTGTATATATGGACCACATCTTCTTTATCCACTCCTCTGCTGATGGACATTTAGGAGGCTTCCATGTCTTGGTTACAGTAAGTACTGCTGCAGTGAACGTTGGGGTGCATGTGTCTTTTCAAATTATGGTTTTCTCCAGATATGCCCAGGAGTGGGATTGCCAGATCATATGGTAGTTCTATTCTTAATTTTTAAAGAAACCTCCATGATGTTCTCCATAGTGGCTGTTACCAGTTTCCATTCCCACCAGCAGCTTAGGAGGGTTCCCTTTTCTCTGCACCCTCGCCAGCTACTATAGTTTGTAGACTTTTGGGTAATGGCCATTATGACCTGTGCAAGGTGAGACCTTGTTGCAGTTTTGATTTGCGTTTCTCTAATAATTAGGGATGTTGAGCATCTTGTCATGTTTTGTTTTTTTTTTTAAACAGTGTGAATAATGTTACCTCTTGAAATTGGCTTCTTGAAATACTGCACTGATTTGAATTCTTTTTGGATTACTTATCCCAGGACATTTCTTGAGGACAGGTGTTATTTATTTACAGCCCTGCAGGCCTTGTGAATATTAAGACCTGGGCAGGTGTCACATCCCTAGAGCCTGAGCAGGCTTGGTTCCCAAGGCTGGACTGTCCTGGGGCTGAGGGAGCTGGGCAGGATATGCCAGCAAATGAGCCCCTCCTTGGCCCTCTTGTGCCTGGTCCCCTCTGGATGGGACCACAACCTCCAGATCCAGGTGGGCCCTCCTACAGCTAAACCAAGCCTACTGCACCCAAAGGATGGTGGACTCTCTGGGCTGGAAGAATTTGAAAAGTCACCTGGTCTCCACGTCTCCTAGTGGTGGGGCTCCCACCTCCAGCTCCGTCCGTACAGTCGCCCCGCCTCCGGACGACAGCACACTCAGCAGAGCAGTTTTGCAGGGGTTGGGTATTGTCTGGTGGTGAAGGGTAAGGGGGAAGGGGCAGTGAGACAAAAGCCCTTGGGTGTTTGTTCTAATTTACAACCCAGAAACAAGAGTTTCCCTAAGGTTCTGGGTGCCCAAGGCAGCAGAGCTGGCATGAAGAAATCCTGCCGCCTTGTGGCCATTTCCCCGAAAAACAAGTTAAAAACCAGTGCTGATGGGCACTTGTCACAAGGCCTGGGGAGGGGGCTGTAAATGACACCTGCCCTCAAGAAATGTCCTGGGGTTGGTAATCGCAAAAGAATTCAAACAGGGCAGACTTTCAAGAAGCCAATTTCAAGAGGTAAATTTTACACTGTTGAAAAAAAAGGCACATGAAAAGATGCTCAACATCGGTAACTTTTAAAAAAATATTTTATTTTTTAACATCTTTATTGGAATATAATTGCTGTACAATGTTGTGTTAGTTTCTGCTGTATAACAAAGTGAATCAGTTATACGCATACATATATCCCCTTATCCCCTCCCTCTTGTGTCTCCCTCCCACCCTCCCTATCCCGCCCCTCTAGGTCATCGCAAAGCACAGAGCTGATCTCCCTGTGCTATGCGGCTGCTTCCCACTAGCTATCTACCTTACGTTTGGTAGTGTATTTATGTCAATGCCACTCTCTCAGTCCGTCCCAGCTTACCCTTCCCCCTCCCGTGTCCTCAAGTCCATTCTCTACCTCTGCATCTTTATTCCTGTCCTGCCCCTAGGTTCTTCAGAACCATTTTTTTTTTTTTTTTTAGATTCCATATATATGTGTTAGCATATGGTATTTGTTTTTCTCTTTCTGACTTACTTCACTCTGTATGACAGACTGTAGGTCCATCCACCTCACTACAAATAACTCAAATAACTCAATTTCGGTATTTTATGGCTGAGTATTCCATTGTATATATGTGCTACATCTTCTTTATCCATTCATCTGTCGAATATTGCTAATTATTAGAAAGATGCAAAGCAAAACTACCATGAGGTACCACCTCGCACCAGTTGGAATGGCCATCATCAAAACATTTACAAACAATAAATGCTGGAGAGGCCACGGAGAAAAGGGAACTCTCCTATGTCACTGGTGGGAATGGACATCAGTAACAGCCACTATGGAGAATAGTGTGAAGGTTCCTTAAAAAAACTAACACTAGAGCTATTATAATATGATCTGGCAATCCCACTGCTGGGGCGTATATCTGCAGAAAACCATAATTCGAAAAGCCACATACACCCCAACATTCACTGCAACACTGTTTACAATAGGCAAGACATGGAAGCAAGCTAAATGTCCATAGACAGAGGAATGGACAAAGAAGATGTGGTACATACATAGAATGGAATATTACTCATCCATTAAAAAGAACAAAATAGGGCTTCTCTGGTGGCACAGTGGTTGAGGGTCCGCCTGCCGAGGCAGGGGACATGGGTTCGTGCCCCGGTCCGGGAAGATCCCACATGCTGCGGAGCGGCTGGGCCCGTGAGCCATGGCCGCTGAGCCTGCGCGTCCGGAGCCTGTGCTCCGCAACGGGAGAGGCCACAATACTGAGAGGCCCGTGTACCGCAAAAAAAAAAAAAAAAAAAAAGAACAAAATAATGCCATTTGCAGAAACATGGATTGACCTAGAGATGATCATACTAAGGGAAGGAAGGAAGTCAGAGAAAGATAAATATAATATCACTTACGTGTGGCATCTAAAGAAAAAATGATTCAAATGAACTTATTAACAACACAGAAACAGATTCATAGAGTTCGAAAACAAACTTATGGTTAGAAAAGGTAACAACACAAATGCTCACCAACCAATCAAGAAGCAGGCTATTCGTTCAATAGGATCTGGCCAGGAACTGTCACCAATTCCACAAGTGAAACAGATATGTGACTCCTTCACTTATTTGATGCATAAAATGACCCCATCATCTCCTGGGACACGGATCATGTCCACAGCCCTCCTGCGTGGCCACCCTTTCTGTGTTTCACATCCTTGGCTTTTTTTTGTGTGTGTGTGATACGCGGGCCTCTCACTGTTGTGGCCTCTCCCGTTGCGGAGCACAGGCTCTGGACGCGCAGGCTCAGCGGCCATGGCTCACGGGCCCAGCCGCTCCGCGGCATGTGGGATCTTCCCGGACCGGGGCACGAACCCGTGTCCCCTGCATCGGCAGGCAGACTCTCAACCACTGCACCACCAGGGAAGCCCACATCCTTGGCTTTTGAAACAAGCAATTTGTGTAGATCGAGGAGAGAATGGGCAGCGAGGCCAGAGAAGTAAGTAACCAGAGGGGGGCCCCAGCAGCACACTCGGACAATCACCCCGGTCCTCCACCCACCAGGCTCATGCCGCCGCCCTCCTTACCCTGCTCCCCAGACACGTCAGCCTCGGCCTCCTCGGCCACAGCCTCTGCTTCCTGTTCTCTTCCCAGAGCATCAGCCTTGGCTCCTCTCACACATGACCCCTCTCCGTCCACCACCCCTGACACTGAGGGCACCTGCGTCTCCCGCGAGCCTCGGGACCAGGCCTTCATCTTTCTACCAGTGGCGCCTTGCACAGCTTCCGATCCACAACGGTCACAGCAAATGACGGCTGCATGAATGAATGAATCCTTGCTAGCCAAACCTCCTTAGGCCACATCTTTAGGAAAACCACCCTGTTTTGAATATAATACTCTCCCTTTCTTCATAGTAGATCCTTGAAACATCATCAACACTATCTTACTGCCTACAAAACTACTGACTACAACAGGATTCCTTCAAAGATACAAATGGCATAGAGACAGCACTGCTTATGAACCAAAAACCTTCTTCACTTTAAGATTTCTTCTCAATTTAATGACAGTGCAGACGGGGCTTGTTTCCTTCAGCAGATTTCAAAATTTTAAACAGTGAAGATTGTAATTAATCAAGTAGTAACTGAGTTTTCCCCCCTTGTTGCCACCCTTTTCCATCTGCACAGTTTCTTTCTGATACTCTTATCTTTCACTCTGCTTCTGAGTTGACTTTTATATTAACAAGCCCTGCTTCTCAAATTGAGGTACATGGTGGGAATGCAACTGAGGTTATTATACTGAGAAAACAGCCACATCCAATCCCTGGCACAACCGGGTGGGAAAAAATAAATGTTACTCCTAAGTGACATATAGTTTAATACAGTCGATATCCTAAGTTCAATACAGTTTTAATTCCCATACTTATGAGTTCTGACTACCTGAATATTTTCAACGATTAGACGGAATGGTAAGACAGGAAGAGAGCTAAGAGCACTCACTCTTCTTTTCTTTTCATGTTCTCTCTTGCCTGTTGGGCTTTGGTGAGAATAAACCACTGGAGGTTTGCTGGATCGCAGAGGATAGGAATGTTAAAATGCCCAAGTTCGTGCAAACTTGGAGCATATCTGTCACTGTAATAAAGCATACGTAAAAGGAAAAATCAGCAACCTCTCTACCCCCATAGAAACGATTTTCTTAGTCTGATTAATGGAAAAGAACTCATCAAGAAAACCCACCTCAAAGGTACAGTAAGTCCCCTACATATGAACAAGTTCCGTTCCGAGAGTGCGTTCCTAAGTCCAATTTGTTCCTTAAGTCCAACAAGTTAGCCTAGGTACCCAACTAACACAATTTGGTTATATAGCACTGTACTGTAGTAGGTTTATAATACTTTTCACACAAATAATACATAAAAAACAAACACTTGAAATAAAGATACTGTACTCTCTACAGTACTGTACAGTGAAGTACACAAAAGCACAACCACTTGTAGAGGATGCACGCATGTGACAATGTACAGCAGACACATGAACTAACTTATGAGATTGGACAGGTGAACGCACATTTGCATCTTTGAAAGTTTGCAACTTGAAGGTTCATATGTAGTGGACTTCCTGTATAGCAGAATTGATTTGAAGTTTTGCTGTCCCCAAGGGGACACACTATCAGGATAACCACACCCTTCCTTGGCCCTGTGACCTTCCTCATCTGTAAGATGGGGGTAGTAACCCACTCCATGGTGAGGTTGTGAGAGCTGAAGAGATAATGCATTTAAGTACCAAGCACGGTGCCTGATATGCACACTGTTGATTTCACATTAGTATAACCCTATAAAGTTTTCCACAGGACTGATCTGCCCTGTAAGTGGCAATATATTTACAGAATGTTCTAGAGACTCAATCTTTCAATCCTCTCATGTTGGCTTTTCTCAAGTTTAAAAGAGTGTTGCCAACAGAGGTGGTGACATTCCTTTCTTTAATTCCTAAGAATCACACATGGAAATACAAAACAATTTCATGCATAGACACACACGGCCCATCTGACTGAATGAATAAAAGTAATTGTTTTAGATACTTGCCTGTTAAGGATCATTTGCAAACCACGCAAACTTCGAGGGTGAAAAGGTATTCGACTTTTCAAGAGTCTATTATAGAACACGTCGAGAAGAGAGTAATATTCTTCAAGTGTCAACACTGGCTGTAATTCTTCGATATAAACAACTTGGATGCCACCTAGAAGACAGCTTATTTGGTCCTCCAGAAGCATCAGGCTCCTCTGCAGGTCAAAATAACTCGGTAATCTTTCAAAAAGCTACAGTATTTTTTTTTTTTGAAAAAAAGGGAAGGAATATTTAGTTTTATGGTACTTTAACAGTCCAAGTTCAGGACTCCAATAAATGGTACTGAGAAATTCTAACAAGAAAATGATAAATTATTTTCCTAGAAGGAAAGTTCAAGTAAGCAATAAGAAAAAAGCTACGGAATGCTGGAAGTATTAATATTCAAAATAAACCACTGTAAATCTTAGGAACTTTTAGCTAGGAATTGAAGAGATTGCAGAAGAAAAGAAATATGTTCCAAATAAAAATAAGTGTTAAGTCCTAACATTTAAATATTCAGGTAAGAATCTCAAATTAGGTTAGAAAGATTAAATGGTATAATAAAGAAGGGTTTTAGAAATAAAGTCTACATATTTCAATTCCAAGTCTATTCTTTCAGAATTTCTATTCTATTAGAAAGTCTATTCCTTCAGAATTTCCCTTAATTCAACTAAATTCAATTATGGAGCACCTATCATGTACTTAAGTACTAAACTGGGTCCTTGGAATATAGAGATTATAAGAATTTGTGTCCCTGTTTGCCAGGGCTCATGGTCAGGGTGCAGGGAAACAAAACAAGAATCAGAATTCAGCGTACCAAGTGCCACATCAGGGTGAAGGGACTGGAGGGTCAAGCAAAGGTTTCTAAAGATGTCTAATGTAATCAATATGAAGAGATAAAGAGGATTTAGAGAAGGTTAGACACATTGCTAATTATTAAAGAAATGCAAGTCCAAACTACAATGAGGTACCACCTCACATTGGTCATAATGGCCATCATCAAAAAGTCTACAAATACCAAATGCTGGAGAGGGTGTGGAGAAAAGAGAACCCTCCTGCACTGTTGGTGGGAATGTAAGTTGCTGCAGCCACTATGGAGAACAGTATGGCGGTTCCTTCAAAAACTAAAAATAGAGTTGCTATATGATCCAGCAATCCCACTCCTGGGCATATATCCAGACAAAACTATAATTTGAAAAGATATATGCACCCCAGTATTCATAGCGGCACTATTCGCAATAGCCAGGACATGGAAACAACCTAAATGTCTATTGACGGATGGATAAAGAAGATGTGGTCCATATATCCATATATTACTCAGCCAGAGAAAAGAATGAAACAGTGCCATCTGCAGCAACATGGATGAACCTAGAGAAGGGAAGCAAGTCAGACAGAGAAAGACAAATACCATATGATATCACGTATATGTGGAATCTAAACTATGACAGAAGTGAACTTATCTACGAAGCAGAAACAGACTCACAGACATAGAAAACAAACTTATGGTTACCAAAGGGGGAAGGAGGTGGGGGAGGAATAAATTAGGAGTTTGGGATTAGCAGATACAAACTACTATATATAAAATAGATATACAAGGTCCTCTTGTATAGCACAGGGAACTATATTCAATATCCTGTAATAAACCATAATGGAAAAGAATATAAAAAAGAATATGTATATGTATGTATAACAGAATTACTTTGCTGTATACCAGAAATTAATACAACATTGTAAATCAACTATATTTCAATGAAAAAAAAAAGGAGTAGAGAAGGTTAGCTGCATGTGGGAAAGTTTCAGGGGAAGAAAAAAGCATGTGCAAACCTGGAAGCACGAATAGGGACAAAGCAGGTTCAAAAACAAGGAGTTTGGTGTGGCTGGAGGGTGGCCTAAGTGGAAGGAGGCGAGGCTGAAGAGGCAGGTGGCGCTGGGTCGGGGAAGGACCTGTGTCCTACATTACGGACTCAGATTTTATACAGAAAGTTGCAGTTATATTAGAGGAGTTGAAAGGCATCAAAAACTCTGCTATAATAAAAGCAATAGCAGTATAAAAATTCTACAAAGTATTTATAATATACTTCTAACACTTTCTGAAAAACAATTTTACTACCTACTTTTCAATTTTTCTCTCAACGAGTTATTCATGTGTAAATGGTAGCTACGTTTTAAACACCTTTAATTTTGAGATAACTTTAGATTCACACGTCTTTCACCCAGTGTCTCCAATGGTGACATCTTGCAAAACTATATACAATCACAACCAGGAAACGGACATGGCTACAGTCCACTAACCTTGTTCAGATTTCATCAGTCTTACTTGCACTCGTGTGGATTTAATCATATGCAGATTTATCACACGTAGAGATTCATGTGACACGACCACAGTCAAGACATAGAAGAGTTCCATCACAAGGATCCCCTCTGCTGCACTTCCATAGCCACAGACACCTCTGCTCTCCCACCCCCTGACCCCTGCAACCACTAATCTGTTCTTTCTATAATTTTATTATTTGAAGAATGTTATATAAATGGAATCATACAGCATGTATTCTTGTGAGATTGACTTTTTTCACTTTGTACAATGCCCTTGAGAGCCACCCAAGCTGTTGCCTGTATCAGCAGTTCATTCCTTCTTACCACCGAGTGGAGTTCTGTTGCATCGATGTGCCAAGGTTTGTGTCACCATTCAAACACTGGAGGGTATTAGGGTTCTTCCTAGTTTTTTGCTCTCACGAACATTTGTGTACAGTTTTGTTTCTCTAGTATAAATGCCCAAGAGGGCAGCTGCCAAACCCCATGATAAACACGTGTTTACTATTATAAGGAACTGCCACACTCTTTGGCAGGGTGTCTGCGCCATTTTACATTCTCAACAGGAATGCATGAGTGATCCAGTTTTTCTGCATCCTAGCCAGCATTTGGTGGTATCGTTATTTTTCAGTTTAGCCATTCTGACAGGTGTGCAGCGACATCTCATTGCATTTCCCTATGGTTTTTCACGTGCTTATTCGGCATCTGTATGTCCTTTTCTGTGACATATCTATTCATGTTCTTTGCCCATTTTCTAATTGTTTATTTTTTTACTGTTGAGCTTTGAGTGTCCTTTATATATTTAGATACAAAGACTTTGTCAGGTAGGTGGTTTGCAAATATTTTCTACCAGATATTTGATTTGAACAGATATTTCACCAAAGAAGATATATGGATGGCAAAAGAGCACATGAAAAGATGCTCACCACCATTCATCATTAGAGAAATGCAAATTAAATCCACAATGAGATAGAACCACACACCTCTTAGAGTGGCTAAAATTAAAAAGATGACCATAGCAAGTGTTGGCAGTTTCTTTTTTTTTTTTTTTTTTTGGTACGCGGGCTTCTCACTGTTGTGGCCTCTCCCGTTGCGGAGCACAGGCTCCAGATGCACAGGCTCAGCGGCCATGGCTCATGGGCCCAGCCGCTCCGCGGCATGTGGGATCTTCCCGGACCGGGGCACGAACCCGTGTCCCCTGCATCGGCAGGTGGACTCTCAACCACTGCGCCACCAGGGAAGCCCAAGTGTTTGCAGTTTCTTAAAAAGTTAAAATACCCTAACATATCTGGCCATTCCACTTTTAGGTTTACCCAAGAGAAAAGGAAATATATGTCCATATAAACTTTGTAGATAAATGTTCATAGCAGCTTTATTTCTAGTAGCCAAAAGCTGACATAACCCAACATCCATCCATAAGTGAATGGATAAACAAACTGGTATATCCATATGATGGAATACTACGTGGAAATAAAAAGGAATAAGTACACACAATAGCATGGATGAATCTGAAATTATGCCAAATGAAAGAAATCAGATCCTAACCCCAACATACTCTGATTCCACTTATATAAAACTCTAGAAATATAAACTAATCTATAGTGACAGAAAGCAGACCAGTGGTTGCTGGGGTAGGGGGTGGTAGATGGAAGAGAGGGTTTACAAGGGACATGAGCATTCTTTTGTGGGTGATGGATGTGTTCACTATCCTGATTATGGTAATGGTTTCACGGGTATTTACATATGTCACATCTCATCAAATTATACCCACTAAATATGTACAGTTTATTGTAAGTCAATTGTACCACAGTAAATCTGCTAAAAACAAAACAAACAAAACAACAGAATGAAGGCCTTTAGGCTATGCTTCAGAAAAGACTATAAAATTTCCAAATAAAGACGGACTTAAAAATCAGTCCTCTAACAATTTAAACTACAAAATATTAAGCATCTGATCTGCAAACAGATGATTCAAATTTTTTTCAGTTTACTGACATATTAGCATAGTTTGAAACAAAAGTATGTCAATAACAAATTAGAGATTTTTTTTTTTGCTTTTAAGCTTTTTCTTACTTTTGTCCAGTGATGATGGACATCCATTGTTCCCAGCATCACATGGCCCACTGCACTCATCCCGGACCGGTCTGTAAATATTATTGTACATCCTGATGATAAAGCACAAACCTTTGGTCACTGTCCAGAGAGGCTTCATTCTTTCAGCACTGTGCAATTAATTACGTAAATTTCATGTATCAACTCAGGATTAAATTCGGTAGAAGCTTAAAGCCTAATTTTATGTCACTGTATAAGTCAAAGGAACAGATTTTAAAATTCAGCTGATATAAAGTCACATCTATCAATACAAAGACTTTTAACACTTAGCTTTCCTCTAGAATTTACAGATGTGTATAGCCGTTAAGGGATATGGATTTCGGAAGTGAATGGAAATTGTTTACCTTTTGCATTTTTAAGGCTTTCCAAGTTCTGCTGGGCTAAGCGGCCTAAACTGTGCAGCTGACTGCAGCGGTGGGCGATGCCCCAGCTCCTCTGCCACCTGGTCCAACAGAGCACACGGCCCATTAACACCCGTGTCCCCCCAGAGGGAGGCACACACTCGCCCCCACTGCTTGACTCCCGTGAAAGCCGAGGAGTTGCTTTCTCAAGGAGACACACAACATGTTTCCAAACTAACTCATTTTTCAAGAAGCAGCCAAATGGGAAATGAATCGTTTACCAGAGGGTAAAAATCTTAGCACTATATTCAGCTATCCAAAGACTTAAAACAAGCAAATACACTGTGTTGTTTCTCTTAAAATAAGAGGATGAAATGGGGAAAACTTTGACAGAGATCTTTTTCTTCTTTATGTTGTTTAATGACAATGTTGTCTTAGATTTAAGTTCCAACTAGGAATTCCAGTTTGGTTTATCAGAATTTTTTGGATCATATTCTAGAGAAAATGATGTTTACGACATCGTGTAATCTGCTCATTTTATAGATGAACATTATTACATCTCAGTGACAAAATGACATGATGTCACAGAGGCACTTCTGTGTATGTGTAAAGAGCACCGGTATTAAGTGGTATCAGAAAACCAACCTTCGAATTCTAATTCTGTGATTTACTAGCTCTGTGACCTTCAACAAACTGCCTCTAGTCTTCCTAAGGTTTCTCTTCATGCTTGCCCAGTGGGGACACTTCTTACAGCACAGGTAGTGTAAATCATAGGGGATGAACATGTGAAGGAGTAAGGCGCTCAACAGGCTTTAAGAAAACTTAGGTTCCTTCTTCATGCTAACACCAATTCTGATGAATGTCATTTCTGATAAAGTGAAATCGGCTTTCAAAATTATTCCTTTAACACACAATGTCATCAGTCACAATGCTTCCTTTCGTTGGAGACTTGGTTAATTTCCCAGTAAGCCGAGACACTTACGTCCATGGTCCTTAAATGTTTTGGTCTCGGGACCCCTTTGCACTCCTAAAAACTGAGAACCTCGAAGAGCTTTTGTTTATATGGGTTATAGCTATTGATATTTACCATAGCTGAGAAATTTCTCCACTATATTGTAAAATAATGTTTATTTCTCTTTATGTTTAAGAAATCCTTTCATCTTCCTGATCCATTCTGCCTTCTCACATCTCTTAAATTTATTTAGAAAAAGTTATTTTCATGCATATTAATTTGTTTTTTTATATACCTTTAAGAAGGATCTTATTATTTTGTGTTTAGTTAGTGAAGTCTATGTTACTAGATTATGGAATTGGAAGGGCCCCCTCTAATCACAGCTTGGATGTGATGAAAAGGCAGCAGTTATCAGCACAAACCCAAACATCCCACACAGTCCAGGTGTAAACACTTTCCTCTGAAATTTGAATTCTCTTGGACAACTATGATTTGAATACATAAGAATAGAACATATAAGTACTATCTGTATTCTGCAAGCCCAGGAAAAAGGTGCTGTTATGATATCCAAATGGTCATTTGGTTCAATATAAGTAAAAAGTCCTGATAATGATGGCTGAAAACAACAAAACAGGCTACAGCAAAGAGTAACAGAAGTTTAAGCTCCAGACCAGATGACAATATCTCAGGGTTCTTATAATGCAGAGTCCCATGACTGAATCACACCACCCCCTCCTTAGGTTTGTAACAGCTGTTAAATCTATTTTTATAATAGATAAAGATTCAGCATGTATCTTTATACAACTGTGATTTCTAAGTTTATGAAAACATTTAAAAAGTCATGTTATAGTGACTACAGGTGATAATACTGTATTGCATTTTGAAAGTTGCTTAAAGAGTAGATCTTAAAAGTTCTCATCACAAGAAAAAAATTGTTTTGTAACTATGTATGGTGACAGATGTCAACTAGACTTATTGTGGTGGTCACTTTGCAATGTATACAAATAATGAATTATCATGTAAAACACTTGGAACTAATATAATGTTATATGTCAATTATACCTCAATTAAAAAAAAAAGTCATGCTATATAACACAGAATAAAAGAATACAACATTTATTTTTTATCTCCCTTCCTCTTTTTAAACTTAAGTACCAGTCTTACATGATTGGGAAATAATTATTTTTTATACATTATGGGCATAGGAAAAGTATATTTTTCACAAGCCCATTATGTTAAAAAAAACTATTATGCTAAAAATATCAGTATCTAAACTTTACTTCACTATTTTAAGCAAGAAATTCATATTGATTTTCTTACATAAACATTTGATTACTTTCATAAAAAGATAACTGAATATTTAGTGAACACAATAATTAAAGATGCAAATATTTAACTGTTAGAAACCTTTACCAAAAGGTAATACATGTTTATTTTAATCTCTAAATTAGGTTTTCTCTTCTTCATTACCTGATATCCGAGAGCTGCAATTGATGGGACAGTTCATCTTTTAAACGATCTAGTTCTTTTCTAAGTGGCAAACTATTCTTCAGCTTTTTAACAGCACTTTTCCCATTATTATCTAACCAGGATCTAGAAAGAAAACAGAGATATACACTTTGCAATACTAACTATAATGCAAACATTTCTACTACTGAACGACGTGTTCATTGACTTAAAGCAGCCCCAGTGTTAAACCGAGTTTGCCATCAAACGTTTGCCAAATTATAAGTACTGCTGCAGGAGTAGGCAGGGCAGAATGGCAAGGTGACTCGGGGATCAGAGGAACATTCTGGGTCCAAGATGTAGTGGTGGAGTGGGCCCTGGGTACAGCCGTGCAAGAGAAAACTCCAGGGGGTTAGGTAAAAAATGGTCTAAAGCACCCCATCCCCAGGCCACCTGACACCCCCTGTGGGACACCTGTCAGTGACTGATGGTCAGGTGTTAGGATAACTCTGCAGAAGGGCTCATATGTCCATCTCAGAAGTGCTTGCCAAATAAACCTCTTTAAGGTTCCTTACTTATTAAGTCACTTTAAGGGTTTGAGATGTTGTGATCTAAGACATTTAAAAAATAATCAAGTTCAGGGAATTCCCTGGTGGTCCATTGGTTAGGACTCCCGCTTCCACTGCCAGGGACACTGGGTCCTATCCCTGGTCGGGGAACAACCATCCGGCACACTGCACAGCGTGGCCGCAAAATAATAGTAATCAAATTGAAACTTTCAGAACCAATCAAATCATTATGCGTGCATCAAATATTTATCCTGAAAGCTGAACAGTGTGTTGTGTTGGGAATCTAAGGAAGATACATCTAATAAGGAACAGAGAGAGAAGCAACTGGAAGAGAATATATGAGCTTCTAGGAGAACAGAGGAAGAATTAACTAATTCTAATTCTGCCTGGAAGGTTCTAACCTGAGAGATGGACCAGATTTTTCCAGGCAGATTAGTGAAAGGGAAGGGCATGCCAACCACGCCAGTGCACAGGGAAGTATAAGATGAACTAACGTGCCCA